GCTGGGGCTGCAAGAACATCCCATTGATTTGAACATTCAGTGAAAGCAGGATCATGTATTCCTGCTGAATCTCTCAGGGTTGCAGGTAAGATATCTGACGAGGTCGTGCGATGCATGGGAGGAGAAAAGGAAGGCTGGTAGAGCAATTTGGGAGGCTGTGCGGACACCAAGGCCGCCGAGTCTTATATTGAGGGATGCTTGCTCCCACTGAGAGTCGTCCAATGGCAGGTTCAGGACTTTCACCAGCATGGACCTCAGAAGGGTGTCATACACATTTAACTTAGGGCTGCTGTAGGATGGAGAACATCTCAGAAAGTAGGGCAACTTAGGGGAAGATAGGTATCTTGTGAGGAGGAAAAGAGAATCACGGGCATCAATCTTGTCAATCCTGTCCAGCATTCTCTTTAGATCAGTGATTTTTGCATCCAGGACCTCCTCGATTGCTCGTGGGCCAATGGGGGCACCCAGGAGGGTGCAGTCAGATGACTCTACAACGAGAATGTCTGGAAGAACATTTTTTATTTGGCCAGTGATGTCTGGGTTGCGGGAGACTATTTCACATTTGGATGCATTGAGAATGAGGCCCAAGGCTGCTCCCTGCTCCTGGAATTTCCTTATATCCTCCTAAATGGTTTCCGGGGTTCCAGCGAGAATGCCATCATCCAGGTACCAGATGTTTAACTCGCTTGTCAGACTATCAGTGACCTCTTTGATAGCTAAGCAGAAAAGGAGGGGGGCTAAGGGGTCACCTTGTTGGACACCTTCACAGGAGTTTATTTCATGCTCCCCAAAAAGAAGCTTAGAGTCCCCACTGTAGCACGATCGGATGAATTGGTAAAGGGGACGGAAATGGTTGTGTACAGCCCTGAGGACAGCGTCTCTTCTGACGTGATTGAAAGCATTTTTGAAGTCAAGCTTTACTAGTGCCTTCTGGTTCGGGAGATCAGCAATGTAAGCCCGCGCTGCATGTGCTGTGTGAATCCCAAACCCGAGCTGATGAGGTTTCAGCAAGGTGGCTGCTTCCTGACTGATAGATCTCACTGCAGCCTTAGCTACGAGGCGTCGGAGGGTGTTGCTATATGATGGGCCCGGTGAATTTGCTGCCACATCTCTCCGAGAGAGGTGTGTTCATTCAGGTGTGAACACCATTCCAGCCACTTTTGTTCTTTTATTTGTCTGGTCTCTCGATGTACATGTTCCTTGACCTCACAAAGTAAGATCCTGTTGCGGTCACTTGGCTGCTTTTTGTATAGCTTTCTTGTTCTATTGAGTCTATGGTTGAGTTCTTTGACACGTTCGCAATAGTACCAATGATCTTTATGGTGTCCGGTGGACTGTTTTTTCAGTGGGATTGAGTGGTTGGCTGCACTTTGAATCGCTTTGACAAATTCTTGTTCTGCCTGATTAATGTCTTCGGGAAGATCATAGTTTCTTTGCCACTCTGAAATGAGGTTTTGAAATCGGTCCCAGTTTGCTAAAGCAAAGTTCCAGGCTTCAGATGGAGGCGGAGGTGGGGTGGGTAGGTCTAACTGAAGATCAATTTGGACCCCATAGTGGTCGCTTGTGAGTGTGGGCTCAACTGACCATGTTGCTGCATCTCTTAGGGAGGCTGAAACGAAGGTTAGGTCTAATCTGCCTCCTTGGATGTGGGTAGGTTCATTCTTGTTTAGGATTTGTATTTCTGGAAGCTGGTTCAGTAGATGTGTAATGTGTATGCCGGCTTCATTTGTTTTGTTCGAGCCCAGTGCCAATCGATGATGGGCATTAAAATCTCCACAAATGATTGTGTTTGTTGTTGTCGCGTGTCCAAATAACACAGAGAGATCCATTTCGGCTTGTGGAGACCTGTACACATTGAACACTTCAAGTTTGTCGTGTCTTAGCTCAATGGTGACTCCCATTACCTCTGTCCCTGCTCCACAATTGGGTGGGCTGGTTATGGATTTGGAGATCAGGTCACATTTTACATAGATTGCACCTCCCCTGGATTGCCCATTGATCCATGGAAGGAAGAAGCCTCGATAGCCTGAGATTTTAGATTCTAATCCGGCTCGAAGCAAGCTCTCCTGTAGTATCAGGATGTCTATGCCCTTGGTTGCTGCTATGCATTGCAAGTGTTGCAATTTAGTGCGCAGTCCTTGCGCATTCCATTGCAGGATCTTTAGAATTCTAGGTTCTTGGAATTTGCTGATAATTCCGTGGTATCCATGGAGTCTGATGAACACGCCATGGAAGTTGCAATTGGTGTATAGGTTCTTAGTGGACCTGAAATTGACTCATCAATGTCGCTTTCCGACGAGCTGGACTCTATCTGCTTTTTATGGGGGTGTCTCTTGCCCTGCTGTCTTGACGGTGTGGATATTACATCTTCGAATTTTTTGAGCTTGTGCTCAATTGTCTTCCGAGTCTCTGTGGTTTGCTTGATTCCATGTGAAGACAGCAGACTTTCGATCAACTCAGTGACCAAAGTTTTGAGCATTGGTCAGAGAGCGTGCAGTTCAGTGGGAGCACTATTTAATGTTGTGCAGGTTAGGGGCCTAGTGGCTTTTAGACCCTTCTCGGTGGTAACTTTGGCACTGGAATTGCTACTCCTATTGGCCCCAGTGTGCTTGCTGGATGAAATGGGAGGCCGACTGCTTTGAACATGATTCTTGTGTCCTCCATCTTTCTTTTTGTCTTGTACTGTCTTCTCACCCTTCACCATGGCCGATGGTGAAGGGCCGTGTGCCCCCTCTTCCTGAATGGGTAGACCCCACGCGGTTTTAGTGGACATGGGAGCTGGTATTCGTTTTGGTGGGGGTTTCGGCTCCGCTGTAGGCGTGGTGGGGTTCGTTTGAAGCCTTTTGATCCTTTCAGGGCATTTCAAGTTCCAGGCATGATGTGCCTTGGAACAATTTGGGCATTTTGCCTGAACAGGGTGGTTTGCCTTGAATTTATCAATACATGTTTTTGTATCATGGGGCTGGCTGCAGACTCCACACCTCACTGGGCGTTGGCAGCCATCTTTGTGATGCCCAAATCTCTGACATCTGAAGCATCTTAGGGGTTCTGGGGTGTAAGGCCTGTGTTGGAACACCCCCCAGATTCCAAGGTCAAGTTTCTCCGGGATCCGTCCGCTTACTGTGAGAAGGACTTGTCGAGTTTCCTGTTTTGTGGTTCTTACTTGGCATCTCTCTGCTGACACCACATAGTTCAGCTTTTCGAGATGGCCAAGGGCCATATGCAAGGGATAGTGGAGGACAATGATTTTACTTATTTTATCCTCTGGTTTCAGTTCCTCACATTTTGCGTAATTTTTTAGAATCGTAGCGGCCGACTCGTCTTTAGGCCTCAGAATGTATTCTCCTCTGAGATTAGGTTTTGCTCTGACCTGGAGCTGGGGGTACTCTTTTTCCAGGTCCACTACAGTAGCGTAGGAAGACTTACCTTCCGTGTGCTGCACTTTGAAGACTGGAAGCATAGATCTAGTCTGAGGCGCTGGGAGAGCTGGAGAAGCTGGAGAGATTAATGGGCGATGGGTCGTCATGGAGTGGCTTGTCCTGTTAGCCTTATTCACGTGATGCCACTCGCCGTCACTTTCAGAACTAGTATCCATTATCGATGGTCTTTTCCTACACTGAGCAGCATTGCTGGATCGATTATAAGTCAATTGGAATTCCATGATGAAATTCAAATGATCACTTGTGGAGTGGTCTGGTGAGTGAAGGCTTGCTATTCTCAAATCTCTTGCTTATATAGGGTGACTACACCTCACAATAAGACAGGAGGGTGGAAAAACCGTTACCTGTAAATAGGGATAGGATTATAGCTTGTGTAATTAGTTATGCTATTAAGATGATGAGATAATGGAGCGAGTATAAGTTTACTCGCTACAAAGGTGAAGAAAAAAAAGATGTGAATAACTATGAAATGCATTACACTTATTATACAATTGCACAATGTTGTACAATTGCACGTTGTAAATTGTATAATAAGTTAGTTTAATTCATTTATTATGCTCCCCATAACCATCTTGTGACAGGTCAAGTCGTCTACTGCAGTTTCGGATACCTCACTAGAAACAACTTCGTTCACTGAGAAGTTTGTACATACAAACCATTTCGTTCATATATGCGCTGGTTTGTGTTCGCTGTTGTTCTCGTCTGAATAAATACATGACACTTGTTCATATAATTAGCGCTTCCATTAAGACATCAATTATTAGAATAACAAGGTGCAAACCATACCCCCTTACAGTTGAAATCTATTTATTTATATACAAGAAGGTACATTGGGTTGCGAGAGTACATAACAATGTACATGCATTGTAGCAAAATTTGAGTTGACGGAGTGGGTAGCACAAGATACAGTTAGAGTTTGAAACACATTTACCTGCCCGAAACGTTGCGCGTACTAGTGGCTTTACAAGATTGTAATTACCATATTATGTATCCTCACATTCCTAATGTACCTTCTTGTATATGCATAAATAAATAAATAAATAAATAAATAAATAAATAAATAAATAAATAAATAAATAAATAAATAAATAAATAAATAAATAAATAAATAAAAAAATGTAGAAACAAGGCACCGCCGAAGGAGGCTAATTTATTATGCACCCCATACTCATCCAGTGAGTAGTGGAGCAGAACATAGATTACATGGTCATAAAATCTTAATCAAACCTCAGTGGCTATTTTTACATTATCATTTACAACTAACTTAAGCAAAATATCTATAATAGATATTATTATATACAAGTATATCTATCACATAATAAATGTAAAAGGAGTTTATCCAAAAACTGACCAAAGTGTTGTGTTTTGTGCGCTGAATCGTGTTTGTGGTCACACGGGTGTGTTGTGTGTTCGCTGGCGGGCTGTGGCCTTACCAAGCCCGGATTATATCCATAACATCACTAAACTTCATTTAATAACTATATGCCTGTTAAGTAGAAGATTTTTATTGTTAATAGCATTATATTGTCGTTTTAATATTGAACACGTACACGTATGCGAAACGTCCAAAGCTGGTGTCCGAAGCGGTCAAAACATTGGTGTGCGACGTGTAAAAGATGTGTTGGCGTGTGTGTCATGGGATGTGCACCTGACAGCTGCTGCTGCTGCTCTCTCTGGCACTGTGGCACTGTGTGGGGCCAGGTGGCACCATCCCCGCCATTGTTCCTGGTGATAACACAGAGGCTCGGCTCTATCAGTCTCAGGGGCGTCGCCACAGCCTAGGGGACCTTCCTTCATATTTATGTATAGTTTTCTGGTTATAGTTTTGATATAATGCTAGCAATTAGATCGCTAATTGATTGATATTTTGAATGATTTGCATATAGTACCTATTAAAGCATCACATTAAGCTTGCTTTGCTCAATGTTGTTATAAATAAATACTGTACATAATTGTAATTTTTGATTTCGAATGCATATGTAATGGTTCATCTTTATACAACAGCCTAAAGTTTATTTTTTTATATAAAAATAACCTTTATTTAATGTACTGAGCTGTGGGGAGCAGTTGGCTCACAACTATTTGACAAGCTGCTGGCTTCCTGTCATCACTGAGGCCACTAGTGTGTATTTTTTATTTTTTGAGATATATAGAAGAGTTGTTACATTCTTGTAGAGCCACTAGTACGCGTAGCGTTTCGGGCAGGTCCCTGGAATACGATCCCCGCCGCGAAGAATCGTTGTTACAACCAAGTACACATTTTACTGTTGCGTTAAACAGAGGCTACAGTTAAGGAATTGCGCCCAGTAAATCCTCCCCGGCCAGGATACGAACCCCTGACATAGCGCTCGCGGAACGCCAGGCGAGTGTCTTACCACTACACCACGGAGACTGGTTTGGTGGCCCTCAGGTAAAATAAGGTCCGGGGTTTTTATTCCCAAACACAACGAAGCATTATAGCACACTGTATTCCTAGCAGTAAATAAGTACATGGGAGCGAGCCAACTGTTGTGGCTTGTATCTTGGGCAAGGTAATTCACATTTGGTGCCTTAATAAGCCCAACGTGCTTCCTGTCAACACAAAATATGAAATCATGACAATGACTACATCTCGGCTACTTGTCCATCTACCCAGTCTATTGTCACTAAGTATTGCTATTATTGTCGTCACGATTGGTGAATTTCCATCCTGCCGTAACCCTAGTAAGAACGCAGTGAATAATATCCCCACAAAGTAATGCATCGTGAACCTGAGTTGGCATATATCCTAAACTATAAATATTTAAAATTTATTGTCAGTACTGTACTGTATACACGTAATCGTTTCCTCCAGGTTGAGCATAATGGACTCGGCTGGTGATGACGGCAATCTTCACTGGACTACCATAGTTATAACTTGCTCGTCTGCAAGTGTAAGAGAAGGAGTGGAAGAAGGTACAGTATTTCAGATTAAGTCAATCGTTTTCTAATGTTAATTTATATAGATAGTGAAAACTGCATTTCATTATAGTAGTATTTTTGCTGTTGACATGTATTGTTTGATCTCCAACTTGTCTGTCTTCTCTAATTGACAGACTACATATGGCAGACAGGTTGTTATGTTGAATGCAAATTTTACTACAATGTACCTATTAATAATCCTCAAATTATGCATCAATGTACCTGTTGCTATTCTTCAAGTTTTGCTACATATTACCCACTTAAAATGTTCCGTTGACCTGCCTGAAGTGCTATGCGTATTAGTGGCATTGCAAGAACATCAGTGCTATGTACTCTCATAAAATCAATGTACCTTTTTGTATATACAGTACAGTATATAAATAAATTAATAAATATAAACATTACAGGTTATTAGGCTCGATATTCTTCTTTTGGGCTTCTTCTCAACCATTTTCTATCTGATCAGTTTCTGTAGAGTCGAAATTTCTTCCTTCATGCTTAGTTTTAGAGTTTAGTTAATTTATTATGCACCCTATACCCTTCCTGTGAGCAATAATGGAAAAGGTTCCAGAGGCACATAATGGTTAGACACAATATAATACATTTTTTTGAACCAGTTACAGTATGAAAAATATTATATGCTACTGTATATAAATAGAAGGAATAACTTTTCTTGTAGAGTAGCTCAATTTGTGCAGTGTAATCTGTCAGTTTTCGTCTAATTTTTATGGTTATTTTCAGAATGTAATCGGCTGTCTAAGGGTGGACTTTTACCCAGTCATGACCTCCTCTTGGTGTTGGATGACCCACGGCCGGAAGGCCACCTGGTGAAACATGAGTCTGAATTTCAGCCAGGCCCAGGTGTTGGAAGTGGAGGAGCGACAATTAATGCCCTTCTTGTGACAATAGAGAGGCTTTCTGCCCAGCAAGGTCATACTACAGTGAGTTTCTCACTATCCTTATCGTTATTATTATTGATCATTAAAAATGCAAAGTGAAATGATAACTGATAATTGACTTTCAGTAAAATTAAAAAGTACCTAATTTCATCCTCAGTTGCAGGCGATGAGTCACAATAACGTGGCTAAAGTATGTTGACCAGACCACACACTAGAAGGTGAAGGGACGATGACGTTTCGATCCATCCTGGACCATTCTCAAGTTGATTGGCATTCTCAAATCAACTTGAGAATGGTCCAGGACGGACCGAAACGTCATCGTCCCTTCACCTTCTAGTGTGTGGTCTGGTCTTCATCCTCAGTTTCCAACCTTGAGCTTCAACCTCACACTGTATCTTGTACTACCCACTTCCCCAATATTAGTACTTAAGACATATCTTCACCAGTGTAATCACCTCTGTCAATTTATATTGAGTTATTTGATATAAAACCTTGTTACAATGTACCTTTTCATCTTGATATGTTTGATTAAGGACCTGCCAGAAATGGTGTGTGTGTGTGTGTGTTTAGTGGCTTTGCAAGAATGTACAAATACCAATCTTATGTATTCTCACCAACCCATTGTACCTTTTTGTGAATAAATTATTATTGCTTTCTAGTATGTACTCTCATGGTGGTATATAGTTTTGAGCTGCAATCACTAAAATTACATCATTTTCTCCCAAGTTATGCTCAGAAATCTATTGCTAACAAACTTCTATGTACAGTATTGGGGGCACCCAAACACTTAATACAAAAACAGCATCCAGCTTCCTGAAGATGATGTGCCTGCTTTCTGACACATACATTATGGCTTGCATTGCCAGCCACAATGTAGGACTGAGAACTTTTTGCAAGGAGAACAAAGAGATGCTTTTCACCCACAGGGTTATAAACCCATGGAACCTCCTACCCGCTGAAGCTGTAAATGCCAAAACTCTGTTAATATTTAAAGTACAAACAGCTGGAAAAGATCAAGGCAAATGGGGGAGGGGGGACCTTTGACAAGTCGCCAGCTTCCTGTTCTTATCGAGGCCACTAGTGTTAGTGGCTCTTTGGTAAACTCGTGTAATATAATTTTGAGGTGGTTTTAAGCACCTCTACATGACTACAGGACATTGCTGGAAGCAGCATTTCTGTACTCTTAATGTTCTAATATTTCTGTCGTGTCAACTACTGTATTTGCTTTCAGTTTGACCACTATTTTATATAGTACATAGATTGTATGAATTTTTACAGATCAGCAGTGAACTTGTTCACAGTAGCCGCATTCTTGTGGTACATCATGGTCGTCTTCTAGTCCATTCTCCAGGTGGCACTGCATTCCTCCGCCTTTCACCAGAACAGACATTTGTGCCACCTTGTGCCAAAATCTCGCCACCAACTCTGCTTCAACATACCATTTGGATGACAACTAAAGTATGATTCAGTGCAGTGGCAGCTCGCCCATAGGAGCTGCTGAGCTGCAGCCCCCCCCCCCCACTCACTGCCAGGTGTATGACTGCATCAACCTCATACTAGAATAATAAGCAACTAACAAATGTGTCATAACAAAGTCTTTATATGTTATTTTCAGTATACTGTATTTATAACTAAATTTTGAACATTTTCATTAAATAAGAGACAAATATAGAGGTTTCATGGTATTCACTAGTGATGCAGTCCCCTCTCCATTCTATGTTGCCACAAGACACCCCTTGGGAATTAGCATTTCCTTGTTAATATTACAGAAAACTTATTTTTATAGCAGGTGCATTAATATAAATGCTTTACTGTATATTTTGTCAATCCCTATTTAGTAATAATGGCTGTACCTCTTAGTTGATTATGGGTTAGTTATTTGATTAGAGCATTGCATACTTTCAGTTGTAGTATCTCTTCACTATGGATTTGCTGCAAACATTTGGACCAATCCATTCACTAGGGCAGAAAATAATACAGTGCACCAATGATAGCAGAAGCTTCAACAAATGAAAACCTCAAGAGAGAATGTGTAATATTGAATATTTGGTGGGAAATAGATACAGTATTGTTAAGAAATTAGATAATCAGGGGCCAGATTCACGAAGCAGTTACGCAAGCACTTACGAACATGTACATCATTTCTCAATCTTTGGCGTCTTTGTTTACAATTATTAAATGGTAAATGAGCTCCAAAGCACCTGGCGGCTGTTTATAACAATAACAACAGTTGATTGGGAAGTTTTCATGCTTGTAAACTGTTTAATAAATGTAACCAAAGCCGTCAAAGATTGAGGAAAGATGTACACGTTTGTAAGTACTTGCGTAACTGCTTCGTGAATCTGGCCCCAGGTTACCAAATCTTGGAAAAAGTGTTTTGTCTCTAATTTATTTTCATGCCTTCACTTTTGAAGTCTTACAACTTAGGTGATCCAATTCCATGTTCTCATGTGATGGAGCTGCTAACAGTAGTTAGAAAATATTGAGTGGCCTCAATATTTACTTAGATGCATCACATTCTTCTGATTTCATTGTGCAGTAGTCAGTTACATTAGAAAGAATGAAGGAGACATTACTGTACCATGTTTGAGGCCAGAGGATCACTTCGCCTTGACAAAGCTCTACTTGCATACTTCTGACTTGCATGCATGGTTAAGAGTGATGCAGATTTCCCATGCACAAGGAATTTTGATGGATGTTATTTTCATTCACAGGTACATTTTTTGAGACAGCTCATTAATCAGATTTAGCCAGGGGCTTCACAATGTAAATTCAGCCGGTCACCATCACTCTAACCTTTGATTCTAAAGTTCTCTAAAGCACAATGAAATATCAAAAACTTGATGTACCTATGAGAAAATATTGAGGCCCTACGATGGTCCAGTCAGTAGTGCATGGTGACCAAACCACACACTAGAAGGTGAAGGGACGACGACGTTTCGGTCCATCCTGGACCATTCTCAAGTCGATTGTGAGAATGGTCACGTTCTCAAGTCACAATCGACTTGAGAATGGTCCAGGACGGACCGAAACGTCGTCGTCCCTTCACCTTCTGTGTGGTCAGGTCAACATACTTTAGCCACACTATTGTGACTCATCGCCTGCTTCTGTTCTTTTCTTTAATGCTATGGGTCTTCATTCCAACTAGAGGTGGTACCCACTTCCTATATAGATGTACATATAAATTATGCACACTGACAAATGTCTCTTTAAAAAATATTGCGGCATGGCAAAGGTTAAGGAGCATAGCCAGAATTACTACATAGTAAGTGGCAGGATATCATATTCAAAGTATGTTATGTTTTCAGATAAGTGCAAATAGCAAAACTGGAGTCTGGGTAACTTCATTAGATGCTTTTCTGCCATATTCTTCCCTGCTATGCCCTCCTCATACTGATGGTGTTGATGGTGCTATTGTGTGCACGGTGGCAGCCCCCTTGCAGCACGCCGCACACCATGGGGTAGTTATTGCTGCCAATGGTCAAGATATTAGCAAAATGGAATATAGGATGCCACTTGAGGAAATGAGTAAGTACTGTATGTCTATAGATTTGTATAATAATTCATTTTGTCAGAGACAGACAGCCTGTGTATACATTGTACAGGTATGTACTTTAGGCTCGTTTCAAATCCCCCCCCCCCCCCCCCCACCCTACCCTACCCTTATCTTGAGATGATTTCGGGGCTTTAGTGTCCCCGCGGCCCGGTCCTCGACCAGGCCTCCACCCCCAGGAAGCAGCCCGTGACAGCTGACTAACACCCGAGTACCTATTTTACTGCTAGGTAACAGGGGCATAGGGTGAAAGAAACTCTGCCCATTGTTTCTCGCTGGCGCCCGGGACCGAACCCAGGACCACAGGATCACAAGTCCAACGTGCTGTCCACTCGGCCGACCGGCTCTCTACCGGCTCCCTACCCCCAAGGTCAAACTACTGACCTTTCCCAGGAAGCAACCCCCTACAACAGTTGACTAACTCCTAGGTACCTATTTACTGTGCCATCATCAATGTTTTCTGTCTGGGTTCTGGCCTACCTTGAAGACTGGTTGATTTGAGTCTTCAAATCACAAAGTTGTTTCAACTGTCTGCTAGTCAGAGAATGTGCTTTTCCAGTTGGCAAGCTTTGACTTCCTTGTCGTCTGGCAGTCATGGTTAATGTCATCCCAGTTGTTAAACTCATTTATTTATTTATTTATTTATTTATGCATATACAAGAATGTACATAAGGAATGTGAGGATACAAATATGGTAATTACAGTCTTGTAAAGCCACTAGCACGCGCAGCGTTTCGGGCAGGTCCTTAATCTAAGAAAATTTTAAGGAGGTAAATTGGGAGGTAAAGGTAAAGGAGGAGGTAAATTGGAGGTAAATTACTCATTGGGTAAATTAGTCTGGGACACCAGGACAACCTTTCCCTCTCTCCTGTGGTCAGCCTTGCTGTGTTTGCAGATGTTTGATACCCAACATCTGCACTCTCCAGCAGATGTTGGGTAGATCTTGCCTTTTATATCAAAATTTTGAGTGCAACCTCTACTTTACCTGACACCCTTTCCTTTAAATTGATTCTGGCTGAAGGTACTTTACTCCTTCCTTGGCTGGTCACCTCTTTTCACATATTCATGATGGAGACACGAGTGCCTTGTTGATCTTGAAGATTTTTTTTTTTTTGGGGTGGGTGGGGGGAGGGGGGTTCATCCACATGGCACACTCCCTTTCTGTAGTGCAAGATGTGCACAGCTACATTGGGTCAGGGCTGGGGCTTTGTTTTCAGTGATCACTATGCCAGTCAGGGAGTATGGTCTTGTTTGCAGCGAGCACACATCACGGTGAGAGTGTGTGTTGATTTTTTTGTATGACCCCCATCAGTGCATTTTCTATACCTCTTTTTTTTTTTCTATCTACAGTATTTCTCGCTTCTTTTTTTTTATCTCGCTTTAAGTTTCTCAATATGATTCATCAAAATTGGGATTGTTTTGACTGTGTTAACCCCCATACAGTATGTGATCAAGGACTAATGAAATTAAATATGAAATTCTTGTTTGCAGGGAAAGTATTTCCAGAAGGCATTGGCACAGTAATCTCAGGAGTGGTGTTCCTCAGTGGCTCACTTACCGAGCAGCTGCTTGGCCTGCACACGGTGCCCCCCCTTGACCGCTGTACCTACTATGGCATGGACAGTGGTGTGCCACCGCTACAGGTATCTTTCCGAGCTATTGAATTTGCTTGTTTGTGAGAGTAGGAATCTTGTCTCACAGTGTGGTTTGAAAATACTATTGTTGTTCTTTTCTCATATTTTTAATGTATTTTTCCAATGCAGTGTTACTTTGGGATGTCAATAGTGGTACTGTATTTATATCACAGAACGTGTAAAACATCGCTACGCACAGGCACGTGCTTGTCACTAATATTCGCATCATAGTATATTTTGTAGAGCAATAAAACATACTATTTTTGCTGTTATCAAACTGTACAAACATTCTAAATAACTACATGCATCGTCGCGCACGCACGCATGCACGCACACACGCACGTGCGCACGCTACTAAGTGGCTCCCAGAACTGAAGGGCAAGAGCTACGAGGAGAGGTTAGAGGCATTAAATATGCCAAAACTAGAAGACAGAAGAAAAAGAGGTGATATGATCACTACGTACAAAATAGTAACTGGAATTGATAAAATTGATAGGGAAGATTTTCTGAGACCTGGAACTTCAAGAACAAGAGGTCATAGATAAAAACTAACTAAACAAAGATGCCGAAGAAATATAAGAAAATTCACTTTCGCAAACAGAGTGGTAGACGGTTGGAACAAGTTAAGTGAGAAGGTGGTGGAGGCCAAAACCGTCAGTAGTTTCTAAGTGTTATACGACAAAGAGTGCTGGGAAGACAGGACACCACGAGCATAGCTCTCATCCTGTAACTACACTTAGGTAATTACACTTAGGTAATTACAGTTATGAACCACTTGGAAGTTATGGAGGGTGTGAAAGTCTTGAAAACAGTTTCCCCAAGCACAGCCTAGCCCCCAACACACTACACCAAGGTGTAACTGCCTTTCATTGCTTTTCTCCTCGCTGCTCTTTCTAACGATGCACTCATGTTTGGTCCAACAGGTGATAGACACACAAGGTAGTGAAGCACCACGGCATTTTGTAGGACATGATGCTAACTAAGCAAAGTGCTGCCAGTACTACTGTCGTCTCAGTCAAGTACATGATTTTTATCACTCAACCACTCTTAAAATCATCCATGATATTTACAAACTCATATTCGTCCAGCTTTTTAACTTAATAATTTTGTCACTTGTAATTGAAAATGTAGACTGAGCTGCAAGACTGAGTTAGAAGCTCGAGCTGCATTCACCACCCATAGTGTTGCTATATTAAGAACATCTGTAGCCAAGGCAACAAACCCATGATTGAATTTTTTCCTAGGTGGTGTCTGTTTACTGGAGGCCTCAGGCAGTGGATGCGAGCTGTGTACCTCCTGCAATTTTAAATGTTGCACAATACCTACAAACATCTCCAGATGTTAAATGTACCATAAGTAACATCTGAGGATGTTATGGGCAGTGGAAGGGTTAAATTTATAAAAAAATCACAAGTTAATAAATATACTGTCTAATATCTTTGACTCTGTTTGTCTGACACTTTCCAATCCTTCCATTTGGGCTGGACAGTAGAGCGACGGTCTCGCTTCATGCAGTTCGGCATTCAATCCCCGACCGTCCAAGTGGTTGGGCACCATTCCTTCCCACCGTCCCATCCCAAATCCTCATCCTGACCCCTTCCCAGTACTATATCGTCGTAATGGCTTGGCGTCTTCCCCTGATGATGTTATTTTTTTTCCAATGCTTCCTGAGTAAAGTGTTTCACTGCTCCACAAAATATGGAAAGGGGTAATAGCATTGATGGCAATAACATTGTACTGTAAAACTGGGTAAAGCAATTATTGGTAATTTTTATGTTGCAGGTGTCTTTATACTTTGATCTGTTGCTACCACTGTGTCATGGGGTTGCATACAACGAGTACATCACTGGTCAGTGTGGGGCCGTCTATGCTCAGGCATCCAGCTACAACGGCTTTGCTCAGCAGGAGTCTCGAGCTGCCAGGTAAGGCCGTATATATGCAAGAAGTGGAATTATTATTATTTTATTTATAAAAAAAATAGTAGAGGATCTGATTGCAATGTTTACATATGTATGTAATGTGGTGTTAAGCGTCTCCCTTTCATTTTATTGTCTGAGATCAATAATACAAAATTTAATGATTTAGAAATAAGAATTATTATTTTTTCTGCAGTATTGCATATATTTTACCAAGTTACAGCCAACAAAAACAGAGCATTTGGTGAAGTGAAATGGTCCATTTTGAACTAGTCTGTCTATTGCTCCCTTGAGCCAGTGACCAACCTATGTAAACAAATCCACAAGGGACGTGACGAGGATTCGAACCTGCATCCGAGAGTATCCCAGGCACTGCCTTAATCGACTGAGCTACTGATACTGATGCTCTCGGACGCAGGTTCGAAGCCTCGTCACGGCCCGTGTTGATTTGTTCATTTGATGCATCACGCAATTGTGATTTCTGTGTGTAACCAACCTATGTATTGAGAGAGATGCATCTTGCCTTCCAGCCTCTCATGACCTGGTCACCAACCATAACCATTCCAAATTGTCAGGTCACAGTTGATGGAAGATATATAGTGGAAAATCAAATTGTAGCCACAAGCAAGAGACCAACTTGCCATCATGCAATAGAACAAACACTAGACTCGACAAACCCTATACAACTTTTTTTTATACTTCAAACAGCATCTATAAATGCTGCTTTAGTTTAAGGTAAAAAAAACTAACTAATTACATTTTCAGTTAAGCTTATTAGTTACAGGAAAGTACAGTATATAGGTACAGTATATATTTATTTTTTCACATTTTCAGACTCCAGATTTGGAAGCAGCTACAAGGTCATAAAGCTTGTTATCACCTTCTAGAAGGCACGAGACATCATTATTTAGGATCAAACTTACCATTTGAGCTCTCCATAATGCCATTATTGCCTTCTACTAGCATTGTGCACACAGACAACATTAATGCAGCTGCCTCAAATGAGCAAGTTGTCACAGTGAACTCGTTCATTCAAGGAGAAGTTAAGTCACTGCATGAAAAAATACATATCCTTGATTCCTGGGTCGGTAAAAATGTTTCCATAACCTCAAAGGGTCCTTGTGTTTTCTTAGGGATGCAGTTACAGGAATCAAGTATAGTCATTAATTCACCAAGTGGACATGTTTGGCAGATGTACCCTGGAGAGAAAGATGACGTAGTCACGTGCCACGGATTCAGTGATGACTTATCAAGGGTACAACATGACGGAAAGATAACTATCTTCAACACTGAATGGGCTACATTCCTTGCCAGAACTGGACTAAATAAGGACGACTTGTGGCCAGATGTCAAGAGCCATAATCAAACGGCTTTAACAGCCAAATTGTTTGTTTTGAATTGTTCTATTGAGGAACAAATCCAAATAATCGTGACTTTAATTGGAGCAATTACTGACGATGAGACTCAATTAAAATGGATGTCAAAAATTGAAGGGTGGAAAAGCTGCTCTAGAGTTTCACTCTTAGAGGCTGCCTCAAGGTGTAGCCTTAAGAAAATAATGAAAGAACGAGAAGATATATACCTGGAGACTGTGAAGCAGTTCATCGAAGAGACTGCAGATGACGTAGGCGGAAAATCTCTACTTCAGTACTTTAATTACCTGGTGACAAGTAAGGACATTTTTCTGGCTAATATGGTTTATTCATTCCTTGCATTACAAGGAAGTATAATATATGTGTGTGCATTTGAAGTCCAATAGTTTATCATACCATCACTCCATATATAACTAGAACATAAAGTAAACTTTTAAAACAACGTTTGAAAGCTTAAGTAATTTAAAAGATACAGTGCTGTTGTCTATTGAAGAGTATGTACAGTAATGATGATCTCAGGATCCATTCATAATCCGATACACCCCGGCTACCTGGGTTTGAGAAATTCGGAAAGGACTGCATTTCTCTACAGCTGTATAGGGAAAAAGACAGTGTATAGGTGGGGAAAATGAGAGATCACAGTCACTACTATGCGAGTGTAACTAATGGAGTAATAGCGCCCTTTCATTTATATCTTCTTTATTAGTTTTTAGTTATTGACAAAGGCCAGCCAATCTAATACAAGCATAAATCAATATTATAGGAAAGCTGAGTTAATAATTATCTTAGGGGGTACCAAATCCCTAAATTGGGGGAAGGGGGACTTACTTACTCATTGACTACTCCCAGAACAATGCTACTTGAAGGTCAGCTCCATTTTCCCCATCTCTACTTTGTCTTTTACTAAAAGATGCTGGAGATTATTGGTGAAATAAATACCTTTATACAGTACAGTATATAAAATACTGTGTTCTCAAACTTCACTCTCTCTCTTTCTCCAGATATATCTGTGAATCTTGCCATTCAAAAATGATAACCTAACTTTAAAATTCATATACTGTAAATTTGTATCTTATATACTATTAAACAATTCTTGAGGACAACTTTTAGTTCTTCTAGTGGCATATATACCAGAAGAACATCAGCAGCATATAACTGCATCTCCTGCTTCATTTTCTTCCCATCCATTTGCTCCAACCACTTGGGCTGGACGGTAGAATGACGGTCTCCCTTCATGCAGGTTGGCATTCAATTCCCCAACTGTCCAAGTGGTTGGGCACCATTCTTCTTCCCCTGTCCCATCCCAAATCCTTATCCTGATCCCGCCCCAGTGCTATGTATTCGTAATGGCTTGGCACTTTCCCTTAATAATTCCCTCCCTCCCATCCATTTATTTATTTATTTATTTATTTATGCATATACAAGAATGTACATAAGGAATGTGAGGATACAATTATGGTAATTACAGTCTTGTAAAGCCACTAGCACATTCAGTTGCAATATCACTTATCGTAGGGATGCCCTGTGGGTAACCTAATTGTTCTACCAATAAAGGTTTTATTAAACCATAGAATAATCACCTATATTTACTGCTTGTAATAATTATGATAATAATTTTATTAAAAATATACAGAAGAACATGATACAGTGATTAAATCAGCTGTTACATAAATGCATATCTAATAAAGCCACTGTAGGATGCAAAGTATTTTGGGAAAACTTAAAATAATTAATTGAAATTATTTAAATGCATAAATGGGTAAACATTTCAATATTAAATGGGAAGTAAGCTAACATATATAAATTATTCAAGAGATTTAGCAAATGGTATACAATATTTAAGAGAGACTTATTGATGAAAGGTGTATACTACTTTATTAAAGAATGTTTAGTTTTACCACCAGTACCGATATAGTATTTAATATTTACAGTAACAACAAAATACAAAATTAACTTGCTTTTGATAGGAAAATGTTTCTTGAGAGAAAAAAATACCTGGCGCATAGATTCGATTCCTCGTCACGGCTCCTGTGGATTTTCGCATTGAAATATCACGATAATGTGATTTTTCTGTGTATAAAATATTTCTCGTTTCGTTAGCCACGGGTTCTGTTATAGACCTCTAGGAAGCCTATGAGGTCAAGATTAGTATTGCAGTTCAGAGTTTTATACTCTACGTACACCCGTAGAGTACACGTGAATATGTTCAATATCAAAGTCACTTCGCACACTCAAGGGTTTCAGGAAGGGTGCTGAATGCTGTCTGGGATTGGAGTTTTTGTTTTATTCTTGTAATTGCTGATTTATGTTGAGTAATAATGGGTTGTAGATAATTTTGAGTTGTAGAGCCCCAGGAACAGATACCATGGGTGAGAAACCTCACTGCATCACCCTCCCACTCCATACACAGTACTGCACTCTTCACAACTCTTCAGTGCATTCAATAGCTCATCTCTAGTACCTGTTGAAAGTTTCCTCTACATACTTTACTGAAATGGACCCCTTTTTCTATTAGTACTTCCAACATTTATTTCTGGGGGGAGCCCCGTCGGGTCCCCGGAGCTTTACCGGCTGATATGCTAATGTCAGACTTTGGCATCAGTCATGTGTATGGAGTTCTAGGGCCTACCGGGGACCACGAGCCAGAACCTGGCCCCCTCAGAGAGGCAAGGGGAGCAATGGCCTATAGAAACCCCCGTGTGGTTGGAAGCATTCTATGTCTGCCATCGACCGGGTCAAGCATCCAGAAAGGTAAGCATTCCAAAACAAACCCCTATTCTGGTGAAAATTGCTACCTAAAGCCGAACTAGTGGATAGAACTCTTCAACAGAAAACAAGGAAACTAGTATGACGTCATACGTCACCGCGCCGCTGTCTGCACAGCTCCCCCCTCCCCGGGAGGGGGAAGGGGAAGCCCCAGACCTCCCACGCCGGCTATCCACCCATTAGTTCTTCGGCTGATGCTATAGGCAACGGTTATGTGCTCCGGCTCCAGTGGTTGTTTCAGCACTGTACCTAGAGTGTGGTGTCTGTTTTCTAGGTGGTGCGTGAGCCGGGAGTGATTCTTCAGTACTCGGGCAGCATGCGCCTAGGGTTCCCTTCCCTAGGTGCCCTGTAAGTACTGCCCTTGGGGCTTGGGGCCACCTTCCACAAGTTCCTTGGGTCCTGCCCCTGCTTGGCCGTTTACTGCTTGGTTTTCGGCCGCTCTTTGTGTGCTCGGGTGTTCTGTCTCCCTTGTTCGCCTTAGAGTAAGGGGCAGTTTTTGCACTGGTGGGGCGCAGGGTACTGTGCAGCTTGTCTTTACCAATCATAGCGGCCGGCTCTGTTCCGCTTGGGTACGCTGTCCTCTTGCGGGGTTTTCTTTTTCTTTTTGTTTATCTACCTGGTGGGGGGGTCTGCCTTCGTTCTTGCCCCTTTGTGTCCCTTGTGTTCTGAGTATTTTCTGGTGGTACCCCTGCTAGGTCCCCGTGAGTGTACACGTCCCGGGGGTTCAGCTCTTAGAAAGTTGTTTGGTAGCTTTGGGTGCCGGTTAGCAGTACCCTGCCTGGGATTACCTGAGCGCGAGTCCTCTTATAGTAAACGTTCGGGACCCTGGGAAACCCCTGGGGGCGCGCGGGTCCGATGGATGTGACCCCAGAGTCCCCCCCTCGCTTCCAGCGAGTTTGAGGGTTGCTCTCACCCTTTGTCTCTGGGTGACTCTCTGTTTTGCCTCCGTCTGCTGCCTGTGGGGTCGGTGACACCTTCGACCCGGAGTCGTGCGAGTTTGGTTGCTCGTTGTGGCTCGGTTACCCAGTTGTGCTAACAAAGCGGGTGCGGGCAGCAGGGGCGTTGCACTTGAGCCTTGGTGGTGGCAACGTTCTCGTGGTTTCCTTCCCGGGAGCCCCGGGGCTGCCCCTTTGTAGTTCGTTTTGGGACTTGGGGGTGTTGGTTGCTTCGGTTCCATCCACGCCCCCTTGTCTTTCCCCTGGATCACCCTTCCTGCTTGCAGCCGGTTCCTTACCGTCTGTAGGTTCGGGGCGGGGTTTTTGATGGTGTTGAGACTCGGGCAGTCTCGGGGAATTCCCCTTCTGGGGTAGTGACGGGGGCCTTTGAGCCTGTTCCTCCAGCCGTGTTGTACGAGTCTGCCAGTGGGCTCCCTTCACTAGTGTTTTCACGGCTGCCCCGGTTTTCTGGTACGGCCGGGGCTTTGGTGGAACGGCTCGGCCCCAGGGCCTGTCGTGTAGGTTCCCGGGGCTGGGAAGGGGCTGACTTGGGGGGCCTTGGCCCCGTTGGACCCCGTGGGGGTTTTTATCCCCCTCTAGGCGGGGCTTGTGGTTACGTGGAGTGGGGTTTTTCCTCCCCACTCGCCGTACGTGCTGTTGGGCGTCGGCCTCTTCCCGGGCTCGGTTCCTTGGCCTTTTGAGTCGGTTGGTTCCGTCCTGTGGGTGGATGTTTCCTCCCACCCCTTTTTGGGATGGTGTTTTCGTCATGTTTCCCCGTTCGATGGGGTTCTGCGTGACTTCTGATCTCGGGTGCGCCTGCGCCTTCGTGTGCCTTCGGGACTAGTGTTGGCTTCTATGTTCTCGAGGGTACGGGAAGGCTTTTCGCTACTTCCCGCATTATTGGAACATCTGTTGGCTCCTCGTCCTTGTCGCCCTGTTGGGCTACTTGTCGCCCTGTTGGGCTACTTGTCGCCCTGTTGGGCTACTTGTCGCCCTGTTGGGCTACTTGTCGCCCTGTTGGGCTACTTGTCGCCCTGTTGGGCTGCTTGTCGCCCTGTTGGGCTGCTTGTCGCCCTGTTGGGCTGCTTGTCGCCCTGTTGGGCTGCTTGTCGCCCTGTTGGGCTGCTTGTCGCCCTGTTGGGCTGCTTGTCGCCCTGTTGGGCTGCTTGTCGCCCTGTTGGGCTGCTTGTCGCCCTGTTGGGCTGCTTGTCGCCCTGTTGGGCTGCTTGTCGCCCTGTTGGGCTGCTTGTCGCCCTGTTGGGCTGCTTGTCGCCCTGTTGGGCTGCTTGTCGCCCTGTTGGGCTGCTTGTCGCCCTGTTGGGCTGCTTGTCGCCCTGTTGGGCTGCTTGTCGCCCTGTTGGGCTGCTTGTCGCCCTGTTGGGCTGCTTGTCGCCCTGTTGGGCTGCTTGTCGCCCTGTTGGGCTGCTTGTCGCCCTGTTGGGCTGCTTGTCGCCCTGTTGCGCTGCTTGTCGCCCTGTTGGGCTGCTTGTCGCCCTGTTGGGCTGCTTGCCGCCCTGTTGGGCTGCTTGTCGCCCTGTTGGGCTGCTTGGCGCCCGGTTGGGCTGCTTGGCGCCCGGTTGGGCTGCTTGTCGCCCGGTTGGGCTGCTTGTCGCCCGGTTGGGCTGCTTGTTGCCCGGTTGGGCTGCTTGTCGCCCGGTTGGGTTCCTTTTTGGGCT